TGCAATTGCCATCAAATACAAATTGAAATGAAAGTGTATATTGGCTTAGTTACCAATATAGCTCCTGACCATACTAAAAAAGCATTTTAATGTTGATCTTATTGTCTATGATATCGAGGTGCAACATTCAAAGTATTTCAAAGACTGTGTAAAAAATCTCTTCCCAGTTCACTATTGAATTTTAAAAAGATACCAAACTATGAAGTATTTCAGAAGCTGAAGTTTCTGCAGAATGACCCATTTGTCTTATATCAATGGGCTGTAGATGCTGAGGATGAATGATGAATGGTAGCTTGATGTTTTTGATACCCTGTATGACAGTATGTGACACACTTTATTTCTTTGCCTTATAGAAGTGGCAGTAAAACATCAATCACACAAGTATTTGTAAGAAAACCGCTGCCTCCATCTGTGCTATTCTGTTTTTAGTGATTTTCTATTTAAAAATTATAGCAAAGGAAAACTGTTGAATTCCCATGTTCTGAATAAATGATTTCATGTCAGCAGCTGCATGCCTGTCAATGCCTGTCTTGCCTGACTTGACAGGGCGGTGAGACTGTCAAAAATGCATTTACCATGTGGGCTTCTGCATGGTATTTGATCTGCAAGGAATCTGTTCTCTGTGGAAACTGCATGGATGCTGATTCAGCACTGCAGCTGGAGAGAAGTGAGAAGGAACTATACCTATAATTGTGAATTAAGTGTCGGTAAGGAAAGGATAGCAAGGGAAAGAAAACAAAGGGAGCCACAAGAGCAAGCGCAGACAGAATTGCACATTTTGACTTAATCACAAACAGTTACTGAAATAAGTATTTATTTGGTACCAGCAGTAGGGATGTTTTAAACCTCTGGCAGATAGCCTGCAAGAAAGCAGGAACATGTATGCTTTGGGAAAGATCATTTTGTGTGCATCCTCTGTGTGTCTGCTTCATTCAGAAAGTTTCTTACCACTGAATGTAGTTAAACAAAATTGAGAGATTGCTTACCCTTGTTATAGATTATCTTTGCACTTTCTAGATGGCTTGCATTGCTTATCCTGCCTTGTTGCAAATTGCTTTTGTGCTGTAGAGGAATTCTATAGACAATGTAACTGTGAGTTTTGGAATTTTGCATCACACTGGCATTCAGCGTATCCAAGGTAAAAAACTCCTAGTTCCAAAGAAACTTAATCTATGTTTGACATTAGCAATTTTTGTTGAACACCCATTTTAGGTTATTTATTGGAGACATGCAGGATACATTATTATAGCTGATGTAATGTGGTCAAAATTGTTTCTAACTGAAATGTTACATAAAGAAGAATAATATATATATACCTCAATTGTTTTAAAACTAGTAAACCTTTTTAATTTAAATAATGATGATAACTAAAAAATAATACTTGTTTGTTTTCCCAGATCACAGTCATTTTCTTCCATTAGTGTATGAGAATTTACTATGCTCTTCCCTTGTGCACTGAGGCAGTTATGCTGTCATAGAAGGCCACTGAGTTGGTCAGGCAGGACTTGCCTGTAGTGAAGCCATGCTGGTTTTCTTCTTTCACTGCCCTGTTTTTCTTGTGCTTCATCACAGTTTCCAGGAGGATCCGTTCCATGGTCTTCCCTGTCGCAGAGCTGAGGCTGGCAGGTTAATAGTTCCTTGGGTTGTCCTTTCTACCCTTCTTAAAAATGGGTGCAACGTTGCCTTTTTTTTCAGTCACCAGGGCCTTCACCTGACTGCCACAACTTTTAGATGCAGCTAGGAATAGAAGGACCATGAGAAATAATTTCAGTGGAATTCAAGGGCAGAAGGTACTTTAGAGAAATTGGCTGGAAAACAAAACAGAACAAAAGAAAACAACAACAACAACAACAAAAAAACAACCAACAACAAATAAACCAACTGCAAATGGCATGTTCTTTGTTATTAAGCAAGTGAGAAATGATCTGTAGCTAGAGAAACAAACTTGGACAACAGCAGGCCTTTGAAGGACACAGAAACTAAGGAATGTTTACACTGGAAGGAGGAAGAGCCAGATGAAAGTGATATGTTAACAAGAAATGGAGGAAATAAGGCATAATGCTATGTCTGTGGGGCAAGAGAAGGAGAACAGAAGAGAAACTTCTCTGCTGGCAGGGAAGCAAGCATTGCAGTAGGGGAAAAGAAAACAAGAATGTAAAAATACTGTGGAGGAAGAAAGAGAGTTATGGAAGAGTAGGGACTACGGACATTAAATTTGGTATTAGAAAAGTAACATTATTTAGTCAAGGTAGTAACAACACCAAAAGCAGACAAAGACACTTCTCAGAATCTTAATTAAAACTTCTGATTGAAATGTATCCAGGTTAAACTGTTCTGCTCATCTGGTCTGCTGCAGCAGTGCAGTTAGCTGGTTGAGGCTCCTGAATCCATGCATATATTAAACAACATTTACCTGCACTTGGACAGAGTTTTACTGGGCGTTTCAATTCCAGCTAATCCATATTTGAACTTCAGTAGAATTTGTCTTGAAAGATCTGTCCTCACACAGGTAGAAGGGATGACCCTTTATGGCATCCTAACATATGTTCTGTGTTGGCACTGCGTATCATTACATAGAGTGCCATGAAACTTAGTGTTTCTAGGGAAAGAGGATAAAGTAGAGGCATCCTCCTTAAAAATTCATGCAAGTCTTCCTTTTCAACGCTACCATGAACCAGTTTGAGCATCTTAAAAAAAAAAAAAGTACTTTTTTTTTTTTAGCTATGAAGGGCAATATAATATTTCTTATGCATTAAAATTCATAAGTGTGATGGCAGCTCCAGAGTATGCTGTTCTAAAGTTCCAGATAGTTTGTTCCTGAAAGAAATACATCCACTAGGAATATACTTTCTCCCTGTTTCTGATCTGTTTCACCAAAAGGAAAAACCTTAGACAGGCAAATTACAAAGAATGCATGGATCTGGATCACAGTTTTGTTCCTTAGAGTCTATTGGAACGTAGTTGACCGTGATTTGACTTAAAAATTACTCTTCAAAATAAGTATTAGCAACTTCAAACAGCAGAGAACAAAAATAAGTGTATAAAGTTAAACTTCAGAAATGTAACAAAATAGAAATGTAAGTAGAAGAGAATCTGGAATGAAAGAAAAAAGGGAAGAACCATGGCTTCACATTATACTAAGTGCAAAGATTTAAAGTGCAAGCAAGGATAGTGCTGATAATTATTTTTAGAAGTTGGAAAATTCTTAAAATGAACAAGAATAATGAAAAAACACTAAAATGAGGAAGAGAACCAAATATGGGAGTGGACAAAAAGATATATAGATATATGCATCTTAACCTTGCCAGACAGTGACGTTGGAAATCAGATGAACTTCAACAAAATAGCAAATTGTGTTTTGCTCTAAAAGGCATGGGGAAGAAAGTCTGTGTTCTGGAACAATAGATTCTCATTTATTGTTTACATGTAAAAAGCAAAGGATGACCCGGAATACTGAACATCTGGAAGGGTGAACTAATAGTAATGACAGGGTCAAACAGAAATTTGCAAGTAAGTCTGATTTTTCCAATTTAAATTTTGAAAAATATCGCTTTAAATCCCAGACTGCTGGGAAGAGAATTATTTTATTTAGCACTCTAATTTAGAAGGAAGCAGTATCTTATTGATTTACACCAGAGTCACATTCTAAAACATGTGAAAATTTAGATAAAAGCTGGAGAAAACCTTAATTACTTACACAATGAATTTTACGTCTTTCAAATATTAAATATTACAGAATTGAAAACTCTGGGTTTGAGAAATTTC